CCTCTTCTCGGGAAATTCTATTATATTCCTGGCCAAAGGAGCGCGCTTTAATGCACCTCCGTCGCATTTCACGAAACCGAATACACCGTCGTCCCGTTCCGTCCCGTCTCGTCCTGTCCTCTCGCGCAAACGCGTCCACCCACTCATCTTTCCGCCATCCTTTTGCCGGCGCGATATGTCGGCCGGATGCGCAAGACAGGAGGAGTGGGAGGACCCGCGCGAAAAATACATACGGAGAGATACGGACCGCGACTCCGGCGTACCCGCGGTCATGTTTTCGTAATTAATCGGGCGCGATGTTTAACTTTAGGCTTTTAGCGCGGTTTAATATTTCAGACAGGACGATCTCGCAAGCACCGTCATGCGATGCGCGGCAGGGAGAAATGCGTCGCAATTTTTACGCGCTCGTGTTCGCCGTCGGAAAAGTGAAACGCGAGGAGCGCGAGGCATTATCATCTCGCCTCTCCACCTGTGCGTTATTAATCGCGATAATCGGCATATAAATATGTTTATAAAGCGTGAACGTCGAGTCCTTTATTTCTTTTTTTTAATTCCACTTCGCCTCGGGCGGAGTGTTAATGGGCGCGTGTTAATCATGATATTTTCGTCGTCGTGAGTTTTAATATTAAAGATCCGCAAAAGTCTCTCTCTCTCTCTCTCTCTCTGAAATGCTTAAACGGAGATTCAATGGGATTATTTCGCCGTCCCCTCATTTCGCATATTACGCTGCGTGGAATTGTATAAGAAGCTTAATTAATATTGCAGAATTATTCTATTCGTATCTTTCGTTAGGTGGGTAGGTTAAAGATCGACGAGTTCGCGGGGATCTTGAGATTATCCGTCAGACTCTATTTTCCTCTCTCTCTCTCTCCCTTTCTTGATGCTTCATATTTTACGATTATAGAGATTTTCGTATTACTTTTCAGACTAGACTTCCCCTCTCTTTCTTTTCGCGGTAAAACTTATCTACTCCCGCATTATATGCCGGTATACGCATAGTATGGAACTTCGTAACTCGCGAGACAAGATAAATTTTGAATAATGCATCCTAAGATTACCGAGAGGCCGCGTGCCCGAAAAATTCACAAGTCCCGGACGGGTTTCTCGTTGGACGGGCGAATTATATCACGGCCGCAGCGGGGTCGGCGGCAGGCGTTATTCAGTACTCGAGTGGACAGTCTCGTTGCATCAATTACGGATATCCATTAGCCTAATTAAGCCTCGCGACACGCGCGGGCCCACCACCCGGAGTGCGTCCCGACTCAGACGAATGAAATAAAAAATTGAAAAACAAACGAATGAAGAGAAAACGCACGCACGCGCACGGATTAAAATTCAACGGGAGGGAAATACGTAGACGATTTGAGAAGGAAGAGAAGAACGGCCGGATTAAAAAAAATACGTCCCGGGAAGGAAAATTAAATTTACCGTGGCCCGCGCATTGTGCCGCGGACGGCCTCGAGAGGGTGCGAACGATGTGATACGATGAGCGAGAGGCGGAGGGTCGACGCAGACACGGGGGTGGCAAAAGATACTTTCGAAAAGTTTCGACAAAAGCGAAGTACAAGCCGCCTGCCGCTGCCGCCTTATGGGAAATTACACGATGAGCTCGCTGGATTACCGTAACCTTCCCGAGTAACTCGCCTTCCTTTCCTCCCTCCTTGTCCCCCGCCGATCCCCCGCTTTCCGCTTTGTCGAGTCATTCTCGACTCCCGTCTCATCTCGGGAAGGTTGCTGATCTCCCTTTAACGCCCGTCGCGATTTTACCTTGAGCATATTCGAGAAGTATCGACGTGCCGTCCCGAGAAGAGGAGGAAGAGAGAGAGAGAGAGAGAGAGCGATATGGGCGATGATAAATTTACGAGTCAAGTCTGCTCGACGGTCCTTCCGAGGAAATGTCCGAATTTTGGCAGGGATCAAACCGATGATATATGCGAGCTGCATTGAAAGTCGCGCGTTATCTCGCGATTTTCCCGGAGACATTTTTCAGTACGCTTTTTTTTTCCACGGGTTTGATTAATTTCTAACGTTAATGTCTCGTACAATGAATAATCTTGAAAAACGTGTCAAGAGTCGAAATCGAACTGAAAAACTAGCATCGTCGTTTATCTTATAATTTCAAAGCCTGATTGTGACTTTCTACAAATTTCTTGTAATTACTTGTTAATTTAATGGTTAAATACTTCAAAATATTCCAAGATCGAGACAACCGCGAATTTATTCTCAGCTTCATTCCTAATATACATGTATAATCCCGAGACATATTGCGTCTTTGAAGCACGATCGTCAAGAAGTAACGGTGGATTAATGCGCGACTGGAAACATATGCACGACGCATAATAATGCATATGGAAACTCGGCGCTGGCAAGTTCGGGTAGACCGGGAGAGAAGAGCGAGAGGGAGGGATTTTAAATTGGATTGAGCGTGCTAATGAGTTTCGCAAATTATCACCCCTCGCGTACGCGCGAATCGACATGTGCTGGCACTTTTCGTTTTATATCGAAACAGCCAACCAATTAATAATTACGCGATCGAACGATACTATACCGGCGCGAAACTCTCCTTGCGAAAGCACCACAGAGTGATTGACATACGATGATCTCATCGCATTCGATGGGATTTCTCAACGGAATAGATTCTGGGAGACACGCGCGTTCTGTCCATTTTTGAAAAGTTGCAACGAAGGTGGCGAATCTTCCGCACGAAAGAAATTCTAGTTATTACAGTTTTAAAGCTTCAGAAAAAACCGTTTTTCCTAGTTTTTCTACGGATTTTTTTCTTATCTTCTTTATGTAAAAAAGTAAATATGGTTTTAACCGAATACATGTGAATTTTTTTAAACGAATTTTTATTATCCTCGCAACAAAAACTAAAAAATTTCGCGGAAAAATCGGAAAAACCCGGCTTTTTCCAAAACTTTAAAACTATAATAATTATTCTCGATCTATTCGACAACTATACCTTTTTTGGTTTTAACCAGAGTAATAGTAGTAACAATATTATAGTTTAAAAAAAAAACTTTTTTTTCAATATTTCCATATACTTTTCGATTTCTTTCCCAAGGGTAGAAAAATTATAACATATTAACTTACTTAACTTCAGTTAATACATGAGTTAAATAATTCTTTACTTTTTAAAGAAATATATGCGGCAAATTTTAACCGAACATATGCGAATTTTTTCTACCCTTTGGAAAAAAAAATGAAAATATCCACGAAAAGACTGATAAAACCCGGTTTTTCGCGGGTCTTCGAAACCATAAACAATATGTATATAAGATTATTATTATTGACAATACAATAACATTGATTAGAAAAATAATTTTCCTGCGACTAAAATTTTTTTACTACGACGTATAGTTCGGTATTTGTAGCTGCAAATACCAAGTATTTGCCTGTCGGTGCGTCAATATTTTACCAGGGAAAAAATGTCAACGTTACATCGACGAAAAATCTTAATGCTGAAGCAAGAGTTCGGGATTCCAGAGCAGTCTATACCGCCGTAGACTTAGAAATAACTCGGTGATGAAGCACGTGTCCTTCGTTTTGATCGATTCTGTAACGTGTCCCGACTCCGTCAAGACGGCGACGGCCTTGTAACACAGCGCGGCGCGTGAAAAATCCCCGCCATCACGGGGCGTTTCGATCATTGTCCCGACCAGCGAGTCTCTCCCGGCTTTTTTCTCCTCCATCCTCTCCCTTCCCTTTTCCCGCCCTTCCCCGTCGGTCGATTAATATTCGAACCTGTGTATCAGCAGAGAGCAGAGAGAGAGAGAGAGAGAGAGAGAGAGAGAAAGAAGAAGAAATTTTAGGGGGGAAGTGACACGTCCGAGACGGCAAATTAATTAGGCGGCGGGCGAACTGATGAAGCCATTAATTACACCGGCGGGTTCGAGCAGTCCCCTTGTCTCGGGGACCACCTTACGAACCGGTCGGTCGGTCGGTAGAACCTAAAATCCGAACGATAAAACAGTGAACGCCGTCGCCAGGAGTGAACGTCCGGGACGTCGCGACGACGAAACTTGGACGAAACCAGACAATGGTACTCCATTAAGAGGGCTTTCATCTTTGGAACGAAGTCGGTCGAGTAGCTTGACGATCCTCGATACTTAACCTCAACCGTACCTACGTTTTCGCTTCCTGTCACGAGAGGCCGAGCTTGTAGGTCGCGACGGCGCTCGGGAGAGAGCGATTTTAAGCTTGACTCCGATTTTAAGCTCGCCTCTTACCACGGTACCGGGTACACCGGTAGGTAATCACGGAAAGAGGTTTCCGAACGCATCGGACGACAACAAGAGCGTTATTCTGCGCGGCCCGCACGCTCGGCGGAACGACGATGATATTCGTCGCGCGCGGTAACATAAAATGATCTTCTTCTCCTCTTCGTTTTTTGTCCTATCCTTAACAAGAGCGCCGTGGCATTAGTAGCTTTTGAGTTATGAGCCGAGGGGAGATGATAGGTAGACCGCGAAATTTCATTCTTTCATCGATTCCGAAGCACACTCTTTGCTTTAATGGAATCTTCTCTTGAGCTCAGGTACCGACGTACTTAATGTCAAAAAGCTCCCAAGATCGCGACGCAAGTAGTGGGCTATGAAAGCTCCGCCGAAAGAAAGATCGTTTCAGTTTCCGATTATCGTCCGACGCCGCGTCTTCAATAGTCTCAACCAAACAATTTAGTTGAGACTATTTAACCAAGTCTTGGTAATTGTTACGGAATCCTTCTTTCAGTGTTGGAACTGCGCGTTTACCCTCGATACACCCTCGTGGTGCCGACTAAATTAAAAGATCATCGAATCTTGAAGAAATAAATCCACTTTTTCCACGTACTCTTGGACAAATTTCCAAGGGAAAACACGTGTCGTTAAATATTAGTCCTTTCAAATAGAATCGCTCGAGGGAGAACCTTGGAAAGCAGAATAGGGCACGATAGATCCCGATGATATATCGAGGGTTAACGGACAAGATATATGAATTGTGTGAAATAACTGTCGACTCACCGATCGCACACCGGACGCGTTGGAATTCAGCTTGGACTGCTTGGCGATGACTCGGTGGCGCTGAAAGCCAAAGAGAGAGGGAAAACCATAAAAATTGGAATCAATCTCGGGGAACGTCAACCGAAAAAAAAAGGGAATAAAAGTACATGGAAATCATCGCGGCCGTGATAGCGACGCGAAATTACGGACTTCGCGCTTTCAGAGACAAATTGAAATGTTTCCGACATAACAATGGTTGCGCGAACGCGTATTACATATTAAACTCATGTTAATACATATTGCACGCTACGTTTAGTTATATTTGCGCTTTATATTAAAACGTTAATCACTGTAAAAGAGGTACGGAACGTCCGCCCGCTCGCCCGCGCGCGCATCTGCCCTCCTACCGGTTTATCTACATACCTATCTATCAACTATTAAATTATTATGAAATTTGTCATAACGCCACGGCATAATGCCCAATAGTGCGCCGGGAATTACGAGCGAGTAATAACAGAATACAACAGTATGTTTGTCTAATACCAGAATGATTGTCAGTCTACGGTTGCGTAAATATACAATCACAGGTTACGATTGCATATTTATTCAACCGTGCCAAACCATGCGAAAGCGCCATTGTTCTTTGCGTGTGTATCTGTGCATATGTGTATATACGTGTTTATGCGCGGAACAGAGGCGGCAGACAGGCAACGGACACGTTCTGAATCATACTTGGAAAGGAAAAGCATCGTCCGTGCGGTCCACGCGAGCATAACTCTCCCGGCGGTTCTCTCGGCCGACTGTCTTCGGTCGGTCGCCTATCACACCGCGCTGCGATACATTATTCACCGCGTAAAAAATCAATGAGACAGGGAGAGAGAGAGAGAGAGAGAGAGCCATAACTGTAACTGGTTTTACGATCTGGCTTGGTCGCGGCGCAAGAGGTATCTCGCTGGCGGGACTCGGACGAAATCGCACGATGATCCTCCATTAAGTGCGCCCTCGTTCGTCCTTCGCCTTGCGGACCTGGTCGAGCATCTCGACGATCCTCGATGCTTAACCTACCTCAGCGCGGCCATACTTGGTCCTCGTTGCAGAACGATGGCGGAGCGAGCGAGCGAGCCAGCGGACGAGCAAACGAGAACGGCGGAGAGGAACAGCGGGAGGGTGGAGGAATCGAAAGGAAAGGTGCAGGAACGCTACGTAGGTACTTCCAATTCGATCTGTGGTCTAAGCCTTTAATGCCTGCTTATTCGCTCGCCTGGAAGAGGATCCCGAAGAGGTATCTAAACTTTCCGAACGCTCCCCGGAAGAGAGCTAAACGCCGAACGATTTTGCTGCCGCCGCCGCCACTCGGGGAATACTTTCTTTCCACCATTGACTAAGGAGCGACGATAGTTGCCGATGGCCGAGCGAATTACGCTCGTGACGCGAAATACGACGTCATTGTGTAGGAAATGTTCGCCTCGAGAGGCGGCGGGGAATTCGCGGGCTGTTCGGCGGGGGCTCTTGGGTTTTTCCGCGGCTCTCGAAATTAATCACTCGCGAGTGGGAAAATCGCGTTTCGAAAATCTAGCAAAAGATACATACGCGTACATAAGCACGTCTATATACATGGTATGTATTTCCGGCGAACTGTAGCCGAATCTGATTTAAACCGTTTACATTAACAAATGAATCATACCGGATATGTCAATGGGAATACCGGTGATATCGACGTTTGACGTTTGACATTCGCGAATCATCCATGATGCATTTATGTACGTCGTGCAAATAGGTTGAAACCATTTCGTTTCGAAATTTGACTTGCAGCACTTTCAAATAAACGATACATACGGGGCGTTTATTTCCAACGCTCTCTAGGACAAAATTTGAATATACCGATGAATTTAAATTCGGCAGATTAAATAAAAAGATTAAATAAAAAAAAAAGCGCCGGCCTGTGTTCGGCCTATGTCCGCGGGTCCGGCATTTTGGCGACGTTTTGAGCATTTTTCCCCATTTTTTTATTCCAAAGCAAGCATGGGAAATGGCACCAAGCGTGATGGATCTTACGCGTCGGTTACGGTGCACAGATTCGGGATGTGTCATTTGGAACGCGTGTCGCCTCCGAGCGATCGAAAATAATTCCTGCCCAGATATCTTCATGGGTAATGTAATGAAATTGGGCGTCTCCGCCGTATTGAAAAAAAAAGAAAAAGAAATAGAGAGGGAGAGAGAGCGAGAGAGAGAGAGAGAGAGAGGGGGGGGAGGGAGATGAAAGCGAGGAAAGAAAGAACAAGAGAGCGAAAGAAAGAGAGAGGGAGGGAGAAAAGAAGCGGAGAGACGAATCCAAAAAGATCGCGGGCATTACAACGTGTACTCCGACATCGACTCGACTTTCCGCCGGGAAAGAAAAAAGATGCGGGCGAGCCAGAAAAAGGGAGGCAAAGCGAGCGCGCGCTCTATATCCCCTGGATATCGGCGATTGTGTTTTTTGTCAAGGATCGAAAGTGCCTCGTCTACCCACACCGGTGCGCTTTGACGTTTAACCGGACGCTTATCGATTGCGGAATTTATTTCTTTTCGTATCTCTAGTCTCCGCCACCATTGTCCGTCCTCTCTCGCTCGTCCCTTCTCGTTCTCTCTCCCTTTCTCCTTCGCTTTCTCTCTCTCTCTCTCTCTGCTTCACACACACACACATACACACGCTCAGGTTCGCCATCCCTTCTGCATCCCCAATGCCGCTCTCTTTATCCCGAATCACCCGGCCAGGCGGACCAGTCTCTCATTCCCATTTTGTTTCCGTTCCCCGACGGCTGTACAGATAGGTGAGATTAAGCCCCGCGATGGCGCGGCTGCGGTTATCAGGAGATTGCATTTTAGCATAATGGCTACGAGAGGCCGCATTGTAGCTCCGTTTTGAGGGACGCGTCGTGATGTCGCGCGGCACTGTCGTGATGGGTGTCGGGGCATTTATCATGGACCAGGTATTTTTGCCTCCTCCCCCTGTTTCCTATTCTCCCTCTCGTTCAGCCTCGCGCACATGTCGGCTTGTGTGTACAGCAAATTCTCCCTCTCTTTCTATCTTCCTATAATATGTCTACAAGCGTGTCGTACGAAAGACGTGTTAACGAATAAAATGCAACGTTAACGATCATTTTCAATTCTCTCTCTCTCTCTCTCTCTCTAGCATAAGGAAAAGAGTAAACTTCCACAGCTGAAAACTAGCTATCCATATAATACAACTGAGATTTACTTATCAGATCTAGCCTTTCAGCTGTGGGGGCGAATTCTTTTTTTCCCGTAACACGAATATAGTCGTGAAAATTGGTTCCCACAACGAAAAACTAGGTGATAAACAAGCGAAACTGATAAATAAATTTCAACTCGCATTATATCGATAGCTAATTTTTCGTTGCAAAAGCTGATTTTGTTTTCCCCCGAGCACGCTTGGCGCTTGTCATATTCCATGCGATCGAAATTGACGGGGTAATTCGGTGTTCGATATAGACAAGCCTCGGGCCGATAATTAAAGACACGCGACGTTAAATATTTCCCATCGCGGTAATTATCGAGCGGAGACCGCTTGCCGCTTTCGTCGAAAGAGCAATCGGCCGATTCGCACGTGTGTGTATGTGTGTCCCCCGTGCTTACACAGCTAATATTATTAAGGAGGGCGACGATTCGATAGCGTTATGTTTGCGTAATACATCAATCGCGACGGTGAACAGACTTGCGCGTCGATGATGCTCGTTCAATTAAACATTTCAGGCTAATTTCGGCCCACGCCGATGCATATGCATGCGCGGCGCGTGCACACGCTTCACCGTGTACCCAATGCGCGCGACTATATGCTAATCGCACCGAGTGTTCACCCGGGTTTATTCGTTCGCGCGCGACCAGAAAGAGCCGGGCCGCCGGCGACGGCGGTGTGCGCTCGCTGAAATACGCGTCGCGCACTTAGGAAACCGACGACGCGCGACATCGATATTCCGACAACGTCGATAACAGCCTCGGCATTGACATTCCCGCACGAAACATTGATCGATTTCGCCGTGACGTATCACCTCAAGCCGCGTGCGGGTCAATTACCGCGGTTAATAAGTGAACAAAACGCTCGCACAGCCGTGCGCACGCGAGAGCAGACGCGAGATCGGCGCGATATTAATTCGCGGCGGCCGCACTTGAACGGCTGATTTGTGAATTTATGAGCCGACAAATCGTACGGATTCCCGCTATTCATTACACCGGCCGAATCATCCTTCACGTTATAATTGATTAATCAAATAAAGTTAATCAATCATATTTCGGTTAAGATCGACCGTCGAATCAACCCCGGCCCACCGTTAATTAATGATAATGATGTGGAATTTCTGGCCGGCAAGCTCGCTCGCTTTCTTTCCTTCCTCCTTTCCTTACCTTCGCTACGCATCGCCGTTTGACGAAGCATCGGTAATCTATAAATATCGACGTCGAATATAATTTATGGCAAACCCGCAAGATAGTTCGCTGTTCATTGTCGGTTATTTTACGATGAATAATTATAGATGTGCGATTCTATGATTATCCGACGATTGTTCAAACTCCTTTCAATAATTCATAATAATCTTGAAGTTAATCTCGGGCGCAGGAAACGGCAATTCATGAAATGTTAATTACCTCGCCGATAGGAAGATCGATAAATGAGAGATTCAACTGTCGCTTGTATTGAACGATATAATGTACACGCATACGTATGAATGCGTTTATCTTTAAATGATATTACAGAGCACAAAGTACACGGAATACAAAATGTCAGTTCATGTAACAGAACGAGGGCCAACCGGAAACTCGAGACAAAATGACGAGAGATGATATCTTTGTCATCCGAGTACACTCGTCGCTCGAACATTCGGCTGCGTTAAATCTCGGTTTTGAGGTAACTGAGAATATTTGACCGATTAATTAGAAATCTCTCACCGTAATTGTTTTGTTTCTATCCAACCTACAAGCGAATTTTCGTTTGGTCGCCACGCAATAGAAAATCAATTGTGCAAACCGAGTCCTTTTTGCACGTAGGACATAGATTTAGTGAGATATTAAGAACATTGCTCGAAAGT